GTAGATCTCACGGCAACTGCTCACTTATACTAAAACTTAATTCTTAACTCTCGACGTTAATCATAATGGATAAGCTGAATATAGTTGCCCTGAAATAAAACTAATTCAAGTTGAAACGTTTGGCGACTAATCCAAGGGCTTTTACGAAATGACATTGTTAAGCTTTAAAATCGCTTTATTAGTTTGAGGATCTTAAATTGTGGCTTAATTTCAATTCTAATTTAGTTTAAATTTAAATTTTTAAATGTTACTTTCACAACACAAAATGAATTTGCTACGAATTATATGACTTAATTTGCAAATAAAATTCTAGTAAACTTGTCTTCATGAAGACATATTAAAAAGTTTTATATAAAACAATCGTATTGGTCTCGTTAAAATTATTTTACTAATTAAATTGTTAATATAGCAAACAAAAATTACAAGTTTCCATCTAAAGTTTTACTTGCTATAGATTTGCATTGTCTTAATTTTTATTTCTCATTATCATCATTCAAAGTCAACTGCTTGACGTGGGCTTTTCCCATTGCACCAAACGATCGCAGTTCCAGAAGTTTTTCACCATGACGATGCTCCACATTATTTCTCTTATCACATATTTTACGCTTGTCATAAACACCTTCATTTTAGCCATAATATTAATCTTGGCATATCCTGTACTCATCTCTGACAATACTGGGTATGAATTATTTTTTATTCATTTTCAAACATTACCTTACACAACCAACACAACCCTTGTGGGTTTTGCCCTGTATCGTGGAGGCAGCTTACATACATAAATTGCACACGGATATACACTTGTTCGATTAGAACGACTTGGAACAATTGAACAGTTCACATGATGGTAAATGGTTGCTGTGGTTCATAGACATCGACATCTATCCTCGTTTGCGAAATACAGATGCGTTGATAGCCGTCAGAACTAAGACGGAATGCCTCTTTTCAAGTAAAAAGAGTCTTCAGTTTTCTGCACTTACCATACGAAACACAGCAGCGTCAAGCCGCTATTTTACGCTGGTAGAATACCATGGTGAGATCATGGTCCTTCCTATGTCGAGCCAACCCATTCATACAGAAAATTTCGGGAATCAAAGAAGTGACACAACATTACTAAATAAAAATGTATTTATTGCTTTTCGAAGTATTTTCCGCGAAATTTGACACATTTTTCCATACGCTGGAACCAATCATTGAAGCAACCATTCCATTCGGAAGTTAGGGTCTCCAAAATGGCCGTTTTTTAGGCGTCCACAGCTTCTTCAGGTGATGAAAATTTCTATCCACGCAATTTATTCTTTATTTTAGGGAAAGTATAGAAATCATTAGAGCTTAGGTCGGGGCTGTACGGCGATTGGTCTAATAATACTATGTTTTCTTGCTCTAAAAACTCTTTTCTTCTGTGTGCGGTGTGAGAACTCGCGTTTTCGTGATGGAGGATGATGCAGCGGTTGCAGTTCTCTTTACGGAGTTCAGAAACGACCTGTGGCAACCAAATGCTAGCATACCATTTTGCATTAACCCTTCTTAATCCCTCAAGAGGAATAGTCGTAATATGACCGGTTTTGGAGACAAACGTGGCCACCATTTTTTTTTGCAACACTCCGTGAACGAACAATTTTTGTTGGCTTTAACTCATTTTCGAACACCCAAACTCGCGACTGGTTTTTTGTTTCGGGTTCGTACGCATATATCCAGGATTCGTCACCTGATACGATGTTATATAAAGCATTTGAGGATCCTGCGTGGAATCTTTCAAGAGTTCTGACGCAACAAGTAACGCGAGCCGCTTTTTGCTCTTCACAGAGCGAATGCGGTATCCATCGGGAAAAACAACTTTTTTACACCTAATTGTTCATGCAAGATTATTTGTATTTAACTCATGCTGGTGGAGCGTCGAGCCTAAGGTTGCCGAAGTCTAATTCCCCGGTCGAACCATAAAACCTATAACGCGAGCTATTAATCTAAGTGGACTGTATCTGCAAAATGTTTCTACACTTATATAAACGGCGACTATAGCATGCGGTACAATGCACTCGCTCTTCCCTAAAAACGAACTATTATTTGCCAAATTGATGAAAGGAATCCTGCTTGATTAGGAGAAAACAAAATTGGAGCGGGTTAAAACACAATTATATCAAGCAGGCAATATTATTAGGAAAATTGACTCACCGGGGGTGTCTCTTTTCTGCTGTTGGGCACTATAGCTGCGACTTCTGGAACTTCTTCTGGACAGACACTCTAGAGAGAGGCGGTGCGCGACTATATCTCACACGAGGTGAGGCGGGTTTCCTGGAGCTCGACTGCTTCCAGGCTAAAGCGGTTCTACTAGCGGTGTGGTTCCAACAACGAGCGCGGCGGGAAGAGAGCGCGCGTCGGTCGCGCGTGCCTTTTATTCCTTCGGTTGCGATGATTACGTGATATTCTAGAATCATCTTTCCCCTCCCACCCCACCACCCCGGCGTGTCGATAGAAGGGTAGGAATGATATCGTTTTGGAAAGGGATAAGCGATTTGGCAACCTACCGTCAAAATAAATAAATACGAATGGTTTTCCGCGCAACCATCTCCCCCGCTCTTGAAGGATTTCCTTCAAAAAATGACTAAAACAACTAGAGCTAAGATCAAACTAACAAAATAACTAACTAACGCTAAGAATACCTAAATTCAACTAAATATTCTAATCTAGAAAGCTAATTTAAATTATGGAAGAGGCAGGGGGGCACAAACGGACAACAGGATTCAGGTAAGACCCAACCGTGGTCTTAACGCGAGCTACCCTAATTACTCCGTCGGAACCGGGAAAGACCTCTGCGACAATTCCTAACGGCCAGTGGAGAGGCGGCGTATTCTCTTTGGTGAGCACAACTACAGTTCCTACAGCTAAAGGCTCAGTTGCTGTGTTCCATTTTTTCCGAGACTGCAAATTATGCAAGTATTCCATCCTCCATCGTTTCCAAAACGATTGCACTAACCGGTCTAATAATTTGTGGCGTGCGGAAATGCTAAGTCTGTTCTCATCCATATCTACGGCGGGAAAATACTTTAAAGGCGTTAAATTCAAAAAAATGTGCTGGAGTTAGAGCTAGCGGTTCCGAGGGGTCACTAGACAACGTACGACAAAGTGGGCGGCTATTCATTACGCATTCAATTTGAGCGAGAACCGTACTTAGCTCTTCGGAGGACAAAATTTGATCTCCTATTACTCGGTATAAGTGACTCTTTACACTCTTAATATTAGTCTCCCAATTGCCCCCAAAATGACTCGCGGCTGGGACGTTCAGAGACCACTCAATGCGGTCCTCGGCTAGAATGTGAGCGAACTCCGAATTATAATACTTGCTAGCTAAGAGCTCATGTAGTTCTGATAAAATACGTTTTGCACCGACGTAGTTCGTACCGTTATCCGAATATAATTTACTTACAGGGCCACGGCGGGTTAGAAATCTTTTAAATGCACCCATAAAGCCTGCTGTGCTTAGATCACCAACGAGTTCTATATGCACCGCTCGAGTAGTTAGACATACGAAAATGCAGACGTAAGCCTTTGTGGATCTTATACCATGCCCGCGAGTGAGCGTGACCTTAAACGGACGAGCGAAATCAGACCCGGTGTGCGTAAAGGGCTTTACTGATTGTATTACTCTACAAGATCTAAGTTCCGCCATTTCCGGAAATGACGGCTTGGGGCATGTCCGAAAGCAAGCTATACATCTGTGCACCCGATTGCGGATTAAATTACGTGCAGAAAGAATCCAATAATTCTGACGCAAGATCGACATCAGCAAGTCGGGGCCAGCGTGCGAATTCAATTTATGATGGTAATCCACTAATAAATTCATGATATGGTCTTTGCGCGGTGAAACTATAGGGTGCCGTTGGTCGAAACTCAACTGCGAGTTGGACAAGCGTCCACCTACCCTTACAATCCCATCCTGTAAAAATGGCTTAAGGCGTTGAAAGGCGCGACTACCTTCTATTCGATTGTAATCTTGTGATTTCTTCAGAGAAGTGTGCACGTTGAAGTTCACGTAATACTAGCGACTCGGCATAGTTGTAATCGGACGCTAAGACATACGAACGTCGAGGTAAAAGCTTCGCGAATCGACAAACGTAAATTACGCTACGCAATAATTTCGACCAAGAGGACAAGCGGTTCGCCAAAGCAATGATTGGAGAAACCTCGCTCGAAACGTTCGCCACTAGAGCGTGTCTCTTCTCTTCCGGCGGTTGTGACACTGACGAAGGTTCGAAATCGGTTATTGGCCATTGCGAGGGATCCAAGTGAACCCAAGAAGGTCCGTGGAACCAAAGCGGGTGGTCCATTATTTGCATCGGGGTGAGTCCACGGGATAGACAATCGGCAGGGTTTTCCGTACCGGACACGTGATAAAAGTACCGCGTTTCTAACTCGTCTTGGATCTTGGCCACTCGGTTTGCGACAAACGTATCCCAACGGTGGGGTGAAGAATGAACCCAGCATAAGGCGACGGTGGAGTCGCAAAAGGCAAATATCCTTTCTATGTGAAATCTATCCCTACATGCGCTGATAACTGCGGTAATAAGCTTGATGAGTACTAATATTGCGCAAAGCTCTAAGCACGCCAGAGAGACAACCTTACGGGGGGAGACTCTCGACTTAGAACTAATGAGGCTAATCGAACTTCTACCATTATTCTGAACGTGGAAATATACAACGCCCCCGTAAGCCTTCTCGCTGGCGTCTGCAAACCCAACGACCGTTATGACGCTATTTCTATTGACGTTTATATGACGCGGTATTTTAATTTCTCTTAGTAAAGGAAGTTCCTCTCTAAAATGCTGCCACAACCGAACAATGCTGTCAGGCGGCGAATCATCACAATCGCATTCAAATAACCAAAGTTGTTTAATCAAAAGCTTAGCGTATAATACCACCGGAGCTACGAAACCCATGACATCCCATAATCTAGCAACGCATGACAGTATTGTGCGCTTTGTGCATTTTTCTACGGGCGGATTTACCTAAAGGCTAAACACGTCGGACTCTGGTGACCAACACAGACCGAGCACCTTGTGTGTATCAGAATCGTCGAATTCTTTTATCGCCGAAAGACGGTGTGATAGTGGGATTGTATCTAAAACCGGACGCGAATTACTAGTCCACTTCACAAGATCGAATTGACCCAATTTCATGAGCCTTATAACCTCGGCGGTGGTTAGGGTGGCCTCCTCCACGCTATCGACCGAGTATACAAAATCATCCATATATAAACCGCTCTCAATTGCCCTCTTAGCTTTAGGGTAAACGGGACCTTCATCGTGGGCGAGCTGTTTCAACGTGCGTAACGCATGAAATGGGCTCGAATTTAAACCAAAACAAACGCGATTAAATTCAAACACCATTAGAGGTTCCTTTGGGTTGAAACGATATAAAATGCGTTGGAATCTACGGTCGCATTCACGGACCCCTATGCAAAGAAACATTTGGCAAATATCGGCGGATAGTGCTATACTAAACAAACGAAAATTGGCTATTATATTAATTAAACTGCCCTGTAAATTTTGCCCACTATAGAGAATATCGTTAAGCGACAGGTGAGTGCTAGTTTTAGCACTAGCGTCGAGCACTACACGTAACTTAGATGAAAGTTTGTCCTCCCTAATGACCCCGTGGTGTGGTATGAAATACGACGGTGTGTCTTCGTAATTATCTAATTTCGAAGCCACGAGTGATATGTAACCTTCTCTTATATATTCGTTAATGACGCCGTCATAAGCTTCTTTTAACTGGGTTGAAGCGAGCATCCTACGCACCAAGCTGTAGAAACGTTTTTCCGCCATTTGACGCGAATCGCCGAGAGATAAAACATCTCCTTTAAAGGGTAGCGCTACGCTATATCTACCGTCGCGATCACGAACGGTCGTGCGGACGTAAATTTCCTCGCATAATCTGTCATCTGAGCTAGCTATGGGTGAGACGTTCACCTCCTCCATCTCCCAAAATTTGCGGACTAACGACTCGAGCGGTTCGACAGCCATACCACAATCAGAGGTTGCCGAAATACTATCTATGATGGGGGCGGAGCCAACGATAACATAGCCCAATACGGTTTCCAGTGCGTAAGGTGCGGTATGCGAGGAGTTGCCCCTGACCTTATTGTTTAACAACAGATGAGGGAAAAGCGATGCTCCAATGAGCATGTCTATGTTTCCAGGAACGGCGTAAGTGTCGTCCGCTAGAGTCAAATTTTTAAATTCAGTCATTGCCGAGGTGTCAACCGAAACGGTTAGCAGCCGTTCAGTGACCCTATCCACTACTAGTGCATTTATATCAAAGTTAACATTACGATCTATCCGAGAATAAAATTTTAAATTTATATATCCCTGGGTAGCTTTACTAGTACCTCCGATGCCTTTGACTACAGGACATGAAAGTGACCAATTTATTACTAAGCCTAAGCGCTGACAACATTGTCGCGTTATAAAGCTGTTTTGGGCTCCGCTGTCCAGCAGTGCACGGACGCTTTGTTCGTTTCCACGCGAATTTCTAACCAAAATACGCGCCGTACCCAGTAACACGGTTGAAGGAGGTTATGCTCCCATATTCGCCAATGAGCACAGAGCGATATCACCAGGTCGACCGCTAGAATCGTTGACTTTAGTAGGGGTGAATTCCTTGTCCGCTTTACTTGACGCTGCTATGTTGCTATTTTCAAAAAGTAATAGCGTGTGATGTTTCCTGGTGCACTTGCTACATACGGAACTTGAATTGCATTTTGCAACTTAATGTTTGTCTTTACTAATTTATAACGTTCGCTTGGCGAATATTTACGAAAAGTTGCACAATTATATAAATTACCGTGTTTATCTTTACATACGATACAAGCATGCTGAAGTGATGCTGACGTAGCGGTTACGTAAGTTAACGAACCTGCTATTTTAGATGGTTGAGTCTGTCTACGGTCGACGCACCTTTTAATCTCCTGTTTAACGTTCGGAGAGCGCTGCATCACCTTTATTTGATCTCGCACGAACGATGCTAATGAATGAAAAGAAGGCATCTCCGAGCTACGATGCTCCATTTCAACGGACGCACGCACGGTGTCGGGGTCTAATTTCTTTAGTGCAATATGGAGAAACACCACGTCCATAAGGTCATTAAATTTCAAATTCTTAAGTGCAGCCACCGTTGCCACAAATTTATCTAAAAACTGCTCTAAGCCGTTGATGTTCGCGGATGATATAGGTTTAAGATCGAATACCTGGTTCAAATATTCGGTAGCTAACATTCTCCTATCTTCATATTTAGTTTTAAGCGTTTCGAATATTAACAAGTAATTGGTTGCTGTAAGTGTAAAACCCGAACAAATTGATTGTGCCCTGCCACTAAGTTTACTAATTAAATAATATAATTTTTCAGCGTCCGATAACGATGGGTTATTGTGTATATTGTTTTGAAAACTACTGAAGAAGAAGAGCCATGTCTTAATATCACCATTGAATACCGGAATATCTATTGGCGGCAACCTAATTGAGTCGCGCGGACGTGCCTGTATTTCCGGCTTTGCTTCGTTTTGAGATTGTAAGAATTTCTCCGTTCTTTTCACGCGACACAACATATCTTCAAATGCTAGAAGCGGTTGATAGTTCACTATGTATTTCGGGTCGATTTGTAATTCCAAACAATTAATTTGGTCTAATATTCTTTCGTAATCCGTCCGCAAAGAATCTACCGTTTGAATTTCATTCAAAAAAGTTTCCCGCACTGCTTCTACATTGATGTTCTTTATGTGATCACTAATACTTTGTATACGTGAAAAAAGTATGTCCCTCTAGCATTAAGCGTTTTAATTTTAATTTCATTTCCACTAACTGCCATTTTAAATTATTATAATAAAGTTATATTAATCACAATTAATCTCACAACGCACAAATAATGGAGAACGGACACTCTTATGCCGTATTACGTAATTAAATCGAACACCTGTTACAGCGAGTCGAGGTGACGTGTTGCTCGCTAAACTCAATATTTTTATCAAAATTGTCGGGTAAGCGTACCAAACGGTTGCGATTACACTGTTTCAATTATTTAAGCGACTAATAAGCTTTAAATTTGAACCAAATACAAACACTATTTAAATGAATAATTCTGTTTGCGAGTACCTAACCAAAATTTAAATTTAAATGAACAATATTTAAGACCATTCCATAAACTAGAGTGCATTAACTAAATAATTAATTTAATAATTCGACCAGAAAATGGTTGAACGACTACTAAACACCAGTCCAAATCCTGCCGAAGATACCATAAAATGGTGGAGCGTCGAGCCTAAGGTTGCCGAAGTCTAATTCCCCGGTCGAACCTTAAAACCTATAACGCGAGCTATTAATCTAAGTGGACTGTATCTACAAATGTTTCTACACTTATATTAACGGCGACTATAGCATGCGGTACAATGCACTCGCTCTTCCCTAAAAACGAACTATTACTCGTATTTGCCAAATCGATGAAAGGAATCCTGGTTGATTAGGAGAAAACAAAATTGGAGCGGGTTAAAACACAATTATATCAAGCAGGCAATATTATTAGGAATATTGACTCACCGGGGTGTCTCTTCTCTGCTGTTGGGCACTATAGCTGCGACTTCTGGAACTTCTTCTGGACAGACACTCTGGAGAGAGGCGGTGGGCGACTATATCTCACACGAGGTGAGGCGGGTTTCCTGGAGGTCGACTGCTTCCAGGCTAAAGCGGTTCTACTAGCGGTGTGGTTCCAACAACGAGCGCGGCGGGAAGAGTGCGCGCGTCGGTCACGCGTGCCTTTTATTCCTTCGGTTGCGATGATTACGTGATATTCTAGAATCATCTTCTTTTCCTTCCCACCCCACCACCCCGATGTGTCGATAGAAGGGTAGGAATGATATCGTTTTGGAAACGGATAAGCGGTATTTAGCAGCCTACCGTCAAAATAAATAAATACGAATGGTTTTCCGCGCAACCACATGCCAATGTCTAAAGTTGCCTGAATTTTGCAGTATGTCACATGTCAATCTTCTTCAATCAGCTTACGCAAAGCATCAACGTTTTCTTGGGTGACTGTAGTTTTTGGACGACCTTGACAGGGGTCATCACTGAGGTTGAGACGTCCACGTTGAAATTCAGCAAACCAGCGATAAATTGTGGTTTTGGATGAAGCTTCATCACCAAATGCAGAAATCATCCGGTCAACACACTGTTTTTGTGTTAAACCACTTCGAAAGTCATAATAAATCATCGCTCTTGAATTTTCTCGAGTCAATTCCATTTTATCAACGACTAAACAAGTTTGACAAAACCTTGTGACAAGACCGAGAATCTTTTTTTAAATAAATAAATGGTATTCGATTTTTAAATTCAAGGAGTTTTCGATTAAAAAAAAATAATATGACAGGAACAGTGGAAATATTCCATTCCCTATACTTTTAGTGCAGCCCAACTATACTGCTAATATAGCTGCAGGGTGGGTTTACCACGTTATTAATTAGTTATAAATTGCATTACCATAAAAATCCCACATCTGCTGATAAATATACATCGTAGAGTGCGTGGTAGATACACGCTCATTATGGTTGTAGCACGGCGGGTCGGCTCGACCGGAGAAGGACCACGATCTCACAGAATACCAGCGTAAAATAGCAGCTTAATACTGCTGTGTTTCTTATGGTAACTGAAGAGATCTGTGTGTGTTCTTTTATTAAATATTTTCAGTGGTCTTAAACATTCTAGCAATTTCAACCTCGTCTCAATAGGTAAATTAAAAACTATATCCTCTACTTGGCTATCCGGTGAAATTTTGTATCCAAAATCACATGGCAACGTTTGTAAAGTATTGTTACGAGCTTAGGGTTCGTGATAATAAAAACTGCCGATTGAATTACCAAAATTAACACTTTAATTCACTTTACTTAAAAGACACTATTAATTAACCACACTGATTCACCTTATTTCGCTCCGAAGCTTCGCTTGTCTCGCCAAATTCAATACTGCCTCGATCGCGTCTTGCCGCGCCTTTTTATACACCTTTTTCACCGAAATATCCAGAATATTCAAATAAATACGAGCGCCAACCGACCAGGCGCAGAAAGTTCGAGTGTGGGACTTCTAGAAAGCTTAATTATTCTGTTCGATACTAGATGGCGTCGAAAGTTAAGATTGACATTTTCTAGGAAGCCCTCCTCACTCTGGTCCCCGACACTAGATGGCGCTATTACCAGGTATCTGACGTCAATTTAGGCGCGCAACACTGTCCTCTCCAAAGACATGCTCGTCCTGAGCATTATCGGCCCCATAATAACGCGCCATGCGATCCACGTGGACGATCTTATGAGTACCTCTTGCACCTTTCTGAAACGGCTCCGCAACGTCAAGGAGTGTACTCTCTCATGGTGCACAAACATTGTACAATTTCAATGCACCTCTATTACGAGTTTGAGATCCCTTCGAGGCCGCATAACTTGTACATTTGAGACACCATACCTCGACATCGTCACGATAATGGACCCAGTAGAATAGTTCTCGGCTCTTCAGTAGAGTTCGTTTAACTCCCAGATGGACTCCTGAACAACAATTATGATACAGCTGTAGAACATTCGCAACTTTAGATTTAGGGACAACCATTTGCAAACGACAGCTGTCTCATCTACCAGTTTCCTATTTACGGCACAGGACTCCATCCTGAATCAGCAAGCTGTCCCATTGGGCCCAATAGCATATAGTGGTCGAACTTATTGCCGAGACATTGCTCCACTTGGGCTTGGTAGCACGGGCCTTCATCCATTCCATAATCGGCTTGATGTCCGGATCTTCCTGCTGTGCATGTTGTAAGCTGTCCTTCCATTCGTTGCTGAGGTGATCTGTCCTGAGCATCCTCACGGATACCACTTCCTTACTCTCTTGCCTAGTACTGTTCTCGCTATCATCAGGATAAGGACTTCTTGACAATGCATCTGTGTTGCCTCGCCATTTTCCGCTGCAGTCATCATCATTACAGCCCTTCACAAGTCCATTGCTGAACATAGGCCTCCCCCAAGTAATGCCACAAAGCACGGTCCTGAGCCACCTGCATCCACCGACTTCCTGCATGTCTTACCAGGTCGTCACTCCATCTAGTGGGGGTCGCCCTACACTACGCCTACCGGTACGAGGCTGCCACTCGAGAACCTTTCTTCCCCATCGGTTATCGGTTCTTCGAGTTATATGGCCGGCCCATTGCCACTTCAGCTTAC